TGCGACCTGTACTTTGTTTACAATTTAGCATCTATAGACGGACAGACGTACGGACGGACATGCATAAATCGACTCAGAAAGTGCTTCTATGCATATTCTCCAAAGGAACCATATGTCTATCTCGTTTCCTTTTGCCGGTTACAAACATATGTACAAAGACATAATACCCTGTACCACAGTGTGTGAAGGGTATAAACATGGCCTAAAGAATGATTTGAATGGTACTGAAATGGTCGCGGAGTTTGAGTAAAAATTTACTGAAAAAGTACTATTGTATAGAATTTGCCATCCCTGAGGTACATTAACAAAACTTTAATGATAAATTAAGAGAACATTACTGTTTAATTGTCTATTTAAGTGATTCACATCTCTGACGTGAATAAAAATCACGCCAGGGTGCCGCGACTAATTATCACATCGACTACACCGCACTATTCTGGCCATTGAAGTTACTTCAAAGTAGACGTATTCACACCCAAGTTCACGCATTTCTTGCACGTTTAATTGGATTGGAGTTATGGAAATTTAATAACAACTTGTGAAATTTATCATCTTTTTTATTGTAATAATATAATTCCAATTACGCATTAGACTAAAATTGGTGATAATATTAATTAAACGTATTCAGGTATTATAAACTATAAATAAGGATTTCAGAAAATTTCCACAAATATAATATTATTTGCGAATATATTTAGAGTAGTTAAATTTAAACCAGCACTAACCAGATGTGCAATTGTTTGAACTCTTAATTCGTGCATAAAATGGAATTAGTCAGGAATATTAAGTAAGATATGTTTTATATGATAAAACTATGTCGTAGTTAGTCTATAGTAATGTATATTTAACGAGAGGCAGATGGGTATTTGCTATTGATTTTGTTCATCTTGTATTAAGACGTTACTTTTTTATAACATCACTAGCATGGAGGGTATATTAATTTTGTCATTCCATTTGTAAGTGATTACGAAGATTCATTTCCGACCTTATAAATTATATGTATTCTTGATCAGGGTAAAATTCTAAGACGATCTATCCATGCCCATCCGTCTGTATGTTATAATCACGCTATAGGGTGTTGAAATTTTGCATATACCTTTCGATTTGCTGTCTTTGCTCTGCAGGCGGATCAAGTTCCAATATGGGCAATATCGGTCCACGTTTGGCTTATCGGCTTTTAAGGATTTTGGACATGTTGTCTGAATTATTTTGTGGTCTCATTTGTAACAAATCTCCCGTTTAAAAATTATAACGATAATCCCCAAATATCTGAATAAAGAGGAAATTTGGCAAGTTTTCCAATCGAATTTCCTGTAATTAGGTATGTTGTGTTCTAATTGGGTACCAAACCTTCACACCAAAAATGGTCAACATTGTTGAATTTTTTGGGGTAGCCCCCAATTTAGGATCTTTGAACGCAGTATTCAAACAAATTCGATATAATTTGCTATTTTAGATTCCTTTTATGTAACAACTTTCCCAATATAACCTATAACCCCTGGTTTTTGCGTTTGTAACTCATCATTCTTTATCAGCGTAAAATTTTGGACATGTCCGTCTGTCTATTGCAATCACTTTAGCTACTAAACGAATTGAGATAAATTGCCAAAATTTAGCATAGAGTTCTATTTTGTCTGCACGCAGATAAAGTTCGAAGATGGGCTATGTGCCCTCCAAATTTTCAGTATTTTGGGATTATTGAACACGTTTTTCTATAGAATTCGCTGAAATTAACTTGAATATCTATTTAAAAAATTCACATTTCTGAAATCCGAATGTACAGACGATGAATAAAATTCAAGTTTTTTGTGCTGCGACTAATTATCACAAACTTCAAACGAGACATAATCTCGCCCGATTTCACGTTTATCGATGGGAGTTATGGAAATTTGACAACAACTTGTGAAATTTATCATATTTGCTCATATAATAGACAAAAATTGATCGAAATATTAATTTATTTTATTCTGGCATTAAAAACTATAAATAGGGATTTCAGAAAATTTCCACAATTATATTATTTGCGAATGTATTTAGAGTAGTTAAATAATAACCAGAAGGGCAAATGTTTAAACTCCTTTCAACTTAATTCGTGCATAAAATGGAATTTGTCAGGAATATTTTATAAAATGTGTTATAATTTACCGCCATTTTGTATAATAAAATTAAGTCGCAGTTGTTGTCGAAACTAGGGCCGGAAGGCTAAGTTAAAGGGGAGATAGTCATTTAATATTTCATTTTTTACTGCGTAATTTGAGACCATTGTTAACTTGAACATTAGATATAATAGATTCCTTGCTATTTTTTCCATTGGCGCCACGCAAAGGCAAGGTATACGTTAACGACTCAGCATCAATTCAAATCCTCAAAGAAAAATATGCATATTTTTCATCATCAGGAGATAGCACAAACGTAGCAGAGTAAGTGTATCAAAATATCCGGTTAATTAATAGATTAGAACTGAGATTTCATTGCAATGCTTATAAATTTAATAAACATAAGCATTGTCCATGACTATAACTGAAAGGCTATCAGTCGTAAACCCGTTTATTTTGTCAAGAGGAATATTGCAATCGCATCAATAACTTTATTTACAATTCTTTTGTCAGGCCTAATAAATGATTGGAATTGTACTAAAATGGTCGCGGAGGTACTTGTTTGAGTAAAAATATAATGAAAAGTTCTATTGTAGAGACTTTTCCATCCCTGAGGTAGATTAACAAAACTTTAATGATAAATTAACAGAACATTACTGTTAAATTGTCTATTTAAGTGATTCACATTTCTGAAATCCCAACGGATAGTAGGTGAATGAAATTCACGTTTTGGCCAGGGTGTCGCGACTAATTATCACATCGAGTATACCACACTATTCTGGCCATTGAAGTTACTTCAAACGAGACATATTTTCGCCTAAGTTCACGCATTTCTTGCACGTTTGACGATGGGAGTTATGGAAATTTGACAACAACTTGTGAAATTTATCATCTTTTTGTTGTAATAATATGAGTCCATTCCAATTACGCATTAGACTAAAATTGGTCGAAATATGAATTTAATTTAGGTTGGTGCTATAAATAGGGGCCTCAAAAAATTTCCACAAATTCAGTAGTGTTGGCGGTTTATTTGGGATACCATTTGTATTTTGCTTTTGCAAAATAGTCAGGCTGAATCCCAGTTTGTTGTTTTTATGAAAAACAACTATTTATTAGTGGGGAATGTATGGCATTGTTTGCCGAGGGGTAAGGCAGTGAAGACTATAGTTTCGGATCACGCCACTGATCCTCATCAGTTCCCTTAGTTTTTAGTCGCGACACCCTGACATTTGGGTTTGAAATGTTTTTTGTATAGAAGCAATAGCTTCTGGGGAGAATAACCCAACAAAAAACTAAGGGAACTGATGAGGATCAGTGGCGTTATCCGAAACTATAGTCTTCCCTGCCTTACCCCTTTTTAGATATTTTGGAAATTATTGTGTAAATAAATCGGAATTTGTCAGGAATGTGTGATAAAATGTGTCACAATTTGGCGGCGTTTTATATAGAAAAGTTGATCACATGTAGGTATGTTTAACTACCCTTTTCATTCATTCTTTATTGGGAAGATTTATTTTCCTTTGTTCCTTATTTGTACTGCTGTCATTTGTGACCTACAGGAGTTAACTGATCCCTACCGCATTCTTCAAAGTGGTTCGCGACTTCATTACCAATTATTGCAATGAACTGGATCTAGCGCATTTTAGATTGAAAATTACATGATTATGATACCTAACTGTTTTACAGGGAACTATGGTTGAGAATTTTATTGTAAAATCGGCCAGGGCCTTTATGTCCATGTAAAGTTTGTGTTGGTAGGTTGTTTATGATCTAAGAAAATTAGAAACCCAACTTCAAATTATCGAAAATTAAGGGGACTTTTTTAAAACATAAATCTGTATTTGATTTTTTTGACCGAAGTGGGCGAGATCTTTATATGAGGGCTATATCAAATCTATGTCGAAATGTTTCAAATTACAACAACTTCTAAAAGCCGTCTAAAAGCTTTAAAATGTCGAAAATGGGCTGGGGCCAGAGATGGTACGTCAGAGGCAGTGCATACGCCAGAAACGTCGGAATCCAATGCAAAACCATTAGATTTCTGACAAAAGAGTTGTTCCCATTAGAGAATATGAAAATGGCATATCTTTTACTGAAATTCAAATTAAATTTCAAAATTTTCTTCTCAAAAAAAAAATATAATTTTTTATCAGGACTAGTAAGGAATAGTCCGAAATATGTAATAATTTTATATATTTTTATATATGGTGAAATATTTAAATAAATGACGTATATGACGTTTCTGACATTTACATCCTATTAGACAGTCGAAAAATGACGTATATGACGTTTCTGACGTTTACACCTTTTTATACAGTCGAAATCCTAAAAATTCGCACACAGACCATCTCTTTATATGGAAGATTCCAAACATCTTAGACAATTTTTCAAGTGACAAGGTCGTTATTGTAAATGCACTTAGTAAATGTTCGGATTTCAAAGTCCAACAACGTTTCAAGGGGGTGAGATGGTATTGCTTGTAACGTACCTACTTCGATTTGTTACACGTGAAATTTAGGTATAACAGCTTTTTGCTAATTAGCTTTAAATAGCTTCTGTCACTTCTCTTCATACGAAATCGTCGAGGACATGGGGCAGCCACTTTGCGATTTGTTTATACAAAATTTCATATGAGCTAACTTGTAATAGTCACTTGGTTGATAGTGTTTCGGTATCAACGGCATAATTTCCCCTTTATTGTGAAATAAAAATTCGTTTAAAAATTGAATTTTTCTTTGAATACCAAAATAACACCTATTATTAGAAAACCCTGCAGTTAGTCACATTTGCAATCGAATTGAGGGCAACATTTTTTTCCGACAAACTTACCACTTTTATCACCCTTTAACTTGTTATATTTTGTTTTTATAATTCTTTAAAAATTTCTATAGAATTGTAATAATATTATTCATATTTTAAAGCAACTTCAACTTCTGCAATTTGACGACCAAAAATAATCCAACTTGTCCAAATTGAATATTCGCCGGGCGGAATTGGCAGAACTTGTAATAATTTAGCGTTCAGACGGCAACCCTTTACAATTATATCATGCTAAAAAATATGAACAAAATAATTTAATCAATAATATCAAATAGTTTCCAAAACACCACCACTATACATACATCATAAGGGCAGGAGTGATTCAGATTGGAATAGCGTTGCAGTTCAAAAAAGTTATAGAATAAATTTGCCAATGGTTTGCGACGATCGCTATTCAGAAATTCACACAAATCAACTTTGTACTGATAGAGAGCCTTTCCGCCAATATCACCGCGTTTTTTGAAACGTAATAAAAACTTTTTGGGAAATTAAAAAAAGGAATGCATTCGATAGCGTTCGCTACTCACATCTGCCTGCTTAACTGGCTTCTTAAACAGTTCAAAGTGTACATTGATTTCGACAACATTCCGTTTGACAGCTTTCAGGGAGCACATTTGAAATTTACCCAAACTCTCATTTTTGGTTGTACAACGTAAATTCGATATCCTTATGTCGGCCTTTAAAGACATAATTTTTGAATAGCTATATACATATATGGACTATTAGCAACTTACAATCACAACGTTTGTTAATAGGGCGACAAATGAACAGATTTGCCATAATTTTGGTAAAATCATGCTTTTAGAATGAAACCTCCAGATGAACTGTTTAATTTGCACGCTTAAGGTCGATTTTGTTTTTCATCTATCCGAATTTTAACGATATTTAAATTTGTATATTATTTTATTTAAAACAAAACATTTTTATTATCTATTTATTACGATCGAATTAAATGCATTTCAGTTCATTGTTGTTTTTGATCATTGTGAAAAATGTTTGTACAAGGTGACTCAAAATATGAATATCAAAATAACAAATTTAAACATTTTTATACTCTCCACCAGAAGATGGAAGGTATAAAAAAGGTACCAAAGATGGTTTCCGAAACCGCCATATAATTTCATACTGGCACACACAACATTGATTTAAAATATTTCGTACATTTTTATGTGTGCTATGAAGTAAATTAACCTCTCACATATGTCATCAATAATGGGGCCCGACGCCATGATCGTACAATCATCCGCATACATTACGATCTCTATTCCGTCCGATGTTTGTGGAATATCAGAAAGGTAGATAGGTAGATGCTTCAGTAGCGGGACCACCCTGACTATTTTTCAGGTTTAAGTATCTATGTGGGTGGTTAATGATAAGTTGAGGGCTGATGTTAAATACTCAACTCCGGGTTAATCCTGCTTCTTAAGCATTACCATGGATATTCCGTCCGGGCCCAACGTTTTTATGATTTAGCATTTTTGATGACATCTGCAACGTCCTCCTTCGCAAATTTCGGTGGTACCTCATGGGCTCGGAGTGTCCTTATGCGACGTAGTACACTACTTTTTCACCCTGCCACTCTCACGGTGCCGGTTAAAATAACTCGCGCACCTCTTCGGGTCTGTCACAGTTACGTCGTTAAATGTGATAGCCGTCCTGTCATCATTATCGACATTAACCGTGCAAAATGTTGAGTTATCAATTTGCTCGGCCAGCTCTGTTCCCCTCTGGTCATTACCTTGGACGGAATGACACAGCTCATGGTGGGAATTGGAATCCCCTAGTACAAGGCGGTTATTACCTTCTAAAAGCGGATATCAGGGTAAATAACGTGGTGTACAGCTATTCATAGGTGGTATATAAACATTTAGCATTTCTACCTCGGCATTCCACGCTTTACCGCAACGCCTATACATTCAATGTATGGGTCACTTGATTCTAGCTCAAGCGAGATACAACTGCGAAAACGAAAATAGCACCACCCTTACAAGCAATACTTAGAATGGTGTGTCAACTTTTTTATTTTAAAGATTATTTTAACAAAATGAATAGCATACATGCTAGTGCTATTTTATTTTTCGCAACTGTAGGTCTGTACTGGACAGAATGGTGTAATATGAATGCAAGTTCCTCACCTCCGCTTCTGGTACGATCCTTCCACACAACGTTGTAATCGCGACGCTGTCAGCTACAGTTCTCGATCAGATTGGTTTCCTGGATCGCACGACGATTATGACGACAAACGACGACTCCTGAGACACATTGGGAGACGAGCTAGCGCAGCATGAAGCTACGTAACTCATGCTGGTTCCGTCTCAGTCCACAGCAAACATAAAAATGCACCAATTCTCTACATCTATTGCATCTCACCGAGATTAATGCGGTTTCTGTAAACACTACAGAAGCAAGGACCGGGGTTTCTTTCAATCCCGACAGGGACCAGTAGGGTTCGGACCAAGCATTCCGGGATATAATGCCGACATGACAAAATTTACGCACACGAGGTGACAGCCTCTGGTCAACTGAAATTTCAAACTGAATAAATGACCTGTAACCTCTTTAAAAATAACTTTATAGTGAAGGTTTTTTCAGATGTAAATAGGTAATTTATTCACTTTTCAAAAACAAGAAATATATACTCAATTTTTTTGAAATAAAAAATATTCTATGGGAAATAAAATGATATAATTTGTACTTGATCAGAACTAAAGAAACTTTTTGATTTTTCTTATAAATATGTAAATTTTGCTATAATGAACAGAATAAAAATTATTTTTGATTATGTTTGTTTTTGAATCTCTTTTGGTTTCCATGATACTACAAAGATTTTCTATAGGGTGAAGATTTATGATTGTCATTACAAAACCCTGATTTTTGACTCCCGTAACCAATCTTCCTTTGGACATGCCTAGTAATCTGGAGTAAATAACAGAATTGTTAACTTTTCACTTCGGTGTTTTCAAATTTCAAATGGGTTAATAATACCATGAAATTAACTGTAATTCTTACCGCATTAATTTTTGTTTTTATGCCTCTTTATGCTTTAATAAATTTTGATCTGAATTTTTTTATTTTCGAACATTAATGTTTAAGTTTTAAATATATAACTGCTTTTCTGATATATATGAATAAAATATAAACATTGAGGCTTGTTATTTTTATTAAATAATAATGAATGGAATTAAATTACTTTTAGTTTTCTACAACAACAAGTTATTTATTTATCTTCCTTTTGTAGTCAAAATAAGTTCATTCATCCCATGAGAAGTTTCCACTGTAATAATTTTATGTTTTGCTCGATTTCCAACCGTTCTCTTCTCATCGACTTGTTCCAGAACCTCAATACCATATAGACGCATTTATTTTTTATGCGGTAGCCAATAAATGTTCTACGTAACAATTGAATTTGCCCATCCCAACATCCATCCCAACATACGAACATATTGATTATGTGAGAAAGCCATCTTCATCATCATCGAGAAATATTTATATGCAAAACACTTCATACATACATCATTTTATGTTGACGTCAAAAGTGTTTTTTATACTTTCTCAATAGCAGACTGACTGTGATGTTCCTGACCATAGAAACGTACACATCGTTCTCGGCGAGCACACACATTTTCATATGGGGCAACATTCACGTTCCCGCTTTGATAAAACGTCATTGCATTTTCATAAAATAGAATTATTTCAATGGTGATGCTGAGCAAACCCACCCATCTCCATCCCATTGGCACGAATCCAATTGATTTGATCAAGTATGAAGATACGGCGGGGGACCATGACGGGCAAGGTACAGAAAATAACGTGATGATACAGCTGATTCGGATGAAAACAAGTGTCTTCGAGATGAAAATGTCTTTTTTATAGCTTGGCGTTAAATTTTAAAAATTATTTCGTTTCGCTTTAAGAATATAGGATGTTATTTTAAAGATAATTCCGATGACATTGAATTCAAGAGAATTGGTATTTTTTCTTTTTAAAATTTTGTACTTAAACATGTATAGTCAACATATGTTTGTATTATTCATTTAACTTAAGTAAATTGCCTTTATTTCGGATATTGTCGACCTTGCTAGCAATTAGAATTTCTTGTTATTGCAAGTGTAATGCGTTTTTCTTAAAGCAATATATATTTTAAAATTTTGGGAAAATTTTCATTTGAATAAAAGTTTTTAATGCAAGGTCCTTGTGCGAAAATTAGCTTATCGTAAAGGTGGGAAGGTCCACAATAAAATTAATGTAAGAGCCACACATGATAGCGATTGCATTTGTATATACATAACCATTCATAAAATAATAATAAAAATAATTATTATTATGCGACAATGGGAGTCCCCATATAAAAACAATTGCCCTGCATGAATATTCCCCAAAAAGAAGCCAGCTTTTATGTGGGGATAATTTATTTATTTTCTCTAATTGCTAGTTAATTTCAAATAAACCACACAAATCCTGGGAATAACCCGCAGAATAACTCACATCGGGACATCCCCGATGATATGTAGATTACAAGCAAAAACATTTTTTTACTAATCGCTCTCAATTTACGATTAAAGCTATCATTAAAAAAACACACACAATGCAGTTTTCCATAATGTTTTCACATCTTTAACAGAACAAAGGCTGAGACAAAAGTAACAAGCAGCATTACCAAGAGAGAGAGAGAGAGAGGAATAAAACCACAAATGCTCAAGACTAAGCCATGGTATCAGCTTTTGTCTTCGTTTGGTGGTTTCTTTTACAAAACTTAATTTCTTGGAAAAATTCCCCGTAGGCAGGGTTTCTTTTTGTTTGGAAATAACTTTACGAAGGTGAAGCTTTCAATTACAAAAACAAAAATATATCTGGGGGAATTCCATAAAAATTTTATGTGGAGATGTACGAAAATGCATTTGAAAGAAATCTACACAACCGGTTTATGGTGCATGGCATGCGATTGCAGTGCGTGTAACACACCCTACATGTAGATGATTAATCAACTTGGAATGTCAGAGCCAAATTTTTAGTAAAAATTTTGAAATATTTTCATATACAAAAAACGTAAGGGGAATTAATGTTGTGAAAGTGGGAAAACTGATTAAATAATTTATTTTCGTTTGTCCATATAGGTAAAACGAATAGAACCTTAAATAGAGGTTTGTCCACCTCTTTGCGTAAAAGAGGTGTTCTCTGTAATGAATTACGAGTCTAACCAAAAAAATACCGTTTATTCACGTAGCCTTTTAAGTAACACCCCCTCAGATATAATACGCATATGCAAGCGTTTTTTTAATCCCCTTACTACATTTGTCATTCCGTTTGCAACACCTAGAAATATTCTCCAAATAGTCCATATTCAATCAAATGGACTGTCATTTAATTTTTTGGACTCTCCCCACCCAAAATGGTCAATATCGGCAGAAGTTTCAGGTAATTTTCCGCCGATCGGTATCTAATTTTATATTTTGGATTCTTATTGAATAGAAAATCTCCCAATAAAAATTATCACGACTGGCCTATTTTTTGTATAGCCTCATTTACACCATTATTGGGGTATTTAGGGATTTTGGCAATTTTTAACATTGTAATGGATATTTCCATCAATTAATGCCCAATAAAATGTTTATTAAATATGTTCAACTTTGATAGAACTAATCTCGATACATCTTTTAAATTATATCGCATTAAAAAATAAAAACGTTTTCCCTTTACCGGTGTCTTTAGTTTTGGGAAGCGGGAAAATGTCAGCGGGAGCCTTGTCCGTTGAATGCGTCGGTTAAGGCTGTTAACTGTTTTCTTTTTTTGGCCACTCAGTACAAGGATCGATGTATAACTGGTGCAGCAGCCATAATTGTTTTTCGACAATTCTGGGGCTTTCACCCCTCTTTTCAAACTAACCTAAACCTTTATAATACAGCGACTACGATGAGAAAAAGGGGCCTAATACCATCAAAAATGGAACACACCCATTATATGTAGGTCATGTACATCATTTACAATTGCTTTTTTGGGTTAAAGTTATCGAAAATGTTGTGGAACAATATATTGGGGCTAAACATAGACTTTTATTTAACATTTTCTGGAAGTTTTTTATTCACTACAAATTCGATATATTTTGTTAAAAAACGCCCTTAAGCATTAGACGGTACCGTTATATGGGGGCTACTCCAAATAGTGGAAAGAAACTGATAATTTTTCTTAAGAGTATGTGGTACACAATCCGAACTTTAAATACGAAATTAGATCTAATCTGGTTTCAGGTGAGGCAATATCTTCCAATTTTATCATCACTTATGTTATTAAAATTCAGTTTTATTTATTGAAAATAACTCCTAAGTTTATTAACGGTCGCAAAATTCTGGACAAGGCGTAGTATGCTGCTATAAGCATTAAAATATCCTCTGGCACTGCTTGACACTAGATTTTGAAACTCAATTTTTTTGGAAAATCATATTTATGACTTTTTTATACAAAATTTGTGATGATTATCTTCAAATCATCAATATTTTTCACTTTCATTATAATCACCAATTCCATCTGTTTAATTGGCAGACATTTCATGTTAATATTTTGAGACATGGCAATATTATATAACATTTTTCAAATATAAATTATATTCACAAAAATATGAAATTTTGATTTTGAATTCATGTCATTTGTAAATTGTGACCTCAAAGCTCATAGAATCAAGATTTATGGAATTGACATTCGAAATGACAATTAAAGTCTAAACGCGATTTTATGTGCAACAAAAAATTGGATTCCTGGGCCATAGTGTGTATGCTTCATTCGATTAATATACAAATTCATAAGTTTTCAAGAGTATGCCTATAGACCTCATGTTCGAACTTGTTCTAGGTGAAATCCGACATTCTATACCCTTTATAGCTACTTGAAATGGTCAATATATTGTCCTTTGTGGTATTATTCTATATTTGTATATTCTATATTTGTATTAAAATTATTAAATTGTCCATATGGCTTCATTAGCCGAGGATTTACAATTAAAGATGAAGCTTGACAAGAAAATTGCTAAAAGTTGAATAAAAATAAAAAAAGATTTTAGAACTCTTCTTGGTATAGAAAATAAATTGCAAATAAATCCTTTCTTAATCAAAACCTTTTTGTGATTTCGTTTTAAAATTTAAAATTTGTTTCATGGTGTAGAGTATCAAATAGTCTGTCTCGCTCGATATTAATATTTCTCTTTCTGTTTCATCATGTTGTATGAAAAACTCATAAAACAAATTTTCCATTCAAGAATTAAGTTTGGCTTTTTTAAAGTGAAACCAGATTTGTATAAGATGGGAATTCCCAAAAAAAAACCTAAAGAATAAGACGCTAAAACTATAACCTCCAACGATCTTTTTAGAGTTGCATAATTTAGTACAACATTTTAAATATTATTTGAATGAGTCACCTGCCTGCCATCAATTTGAAGTTTTTTCAAACGTACACACTAGTGGCGAATGCCTATCATGAAAAATATTGGTTAACTGCATTCCATCTGCATGTTATGAGAAAGTTGAATATTCTTGAATTTGCATTGCAATTGAAATTTGAAATTTTCCCAGGGCTTTGACCGGTTTCTTTTAGTCTTTCTTTAGAAAATGCAAATCACTGACCTGCCAACAATTAAGACTCCCCTTTATTTGCTTGACTCTGCGATAACAAAACGTGTTCGAATCAACAACAACATCTTATCGTATTTCTCTGCTTGAACTGTCTGGCTCCCCCAGTTTTTGTTTGAAATCGGAGACATTATCATTGAGTGCAAAGAGACAACTGAGCAGTTGGCAATCAAACTTTTTTGCATTCCATCAAATGAGAATAGAGAAAAAATTTGGGTTTTTTCAACCAGGAGATCTACCTCTTACTGCTCTCACTCTCGTTGAGATGCCCCAAAGCTCTAATTAATGGGACAAGCCCACAAAACGCAATCATGTGAAATTCCATTAATGAATGAAATCAAATTGTCGGATAGGGGGAGATGAAATAGTAATAAAAAAACAATACCTAAATTTAGGAATTTTTCAAATAATTTTTTGGAGTTGCTATCAATAAAACCCCCGAAACAAATTGACATTTAATAAGATAAATTACAAACATAATTTAAATGATCTGGGGTTTTCACACAATTTGTATTGTTTTATATCATCGCCGTATTAGCACCTACTATTTGCTGCCCAATTACCATATCCACAACAACAACAACATCTATGGCAATTCCCAACAAACATCTGGCCTACATAGACACGCACAAGTTGTCTGCAACTAATTTCCTTTGGGAAGTTTCCGCAAGTATTTATGGGGAATTCTGTTGAACTAACCATTAGAGAATATGAAAATCCCCCAAATTACTGTTGTTCTCTCGCTTTCCCTCTCTCTCTGTATCTTTTAACGAGAATAATTGGGGGCTCTGCTCGATTTTGTGTTCAAGAGAATCGCGAGGAGAGAGAGCTTTTATGGGTGTTCGTGTGAATGTGCCCGACTGTTTGTTGCTGTATTTTCATGGATTTCTTGTGAAATTCAATGGAAGCGATTGGGGCTAAGAGAGTTGTGGGTATAAAAGCTGGCGCTCTTCGGCAGTGGGTATTCATTGTGAAATTAACACTCAAAATTGAAACACAGTAACGGATAGCAGCCAAGTAAAAACGTTCCGTCAAACGGCAAAGTGAACATTTAAAGTGAATTACAAAAACAATTTTGCGCGAAAAGAATTTCATAACAATTGAACAACAAGAAGAAGAATACTAAAACAAAAGCAACAACAAGCAAATAAACTGAAAGCAACAACAAAATAAAAAATTAACAACAAAAGCAAAGCAAATAAGCAAACAAACACCAATACACCCACAAACACAGTGTTGTCAAGTGTTATCAGACCAGTGGTTCCAAGTAGTTTTGTGAAAATTGATTCATACGAGAAGCAGCATTTAAATTGCAACAACAAAAACAACATGGTCGTGGAAGCTATGCAGATCCAATCTTATCACCAACAACAAAACCCCCAAACCAACCCCATGGATATTAAAATGGATTACACAAAAATTGGACGCACCGTCAAAAGTGCCCTGATGAAGGCCCAAACAGAGTCACGTGTCATTGTGGGCCTAAGTGCCGCCATCAAAGTACTCTCCAAGGCCCCCGAAGGTTCCCTCTTCTGCCTCATGGCTGTGCCACAAGCTGGCGATTCCGCCACACACATGCATGAAGTGCTGTTGGAAGCCTTTTGCTATGAGAACGACATCTATGTCATCAAGGTGGATTGCCCCATTAAGTTGAGCCGCATTCTGGGCAAGACCAATGTCGAGTCCTGCTGTTTGGTCCAAAAAACATGGACCGGCGAACAAGGCGAAGAACAATTGAACAAACCCGAATCTCTGCTGGTTGATTTCTGTGAAGCCAACTGGGATGCTGCCGAAAACCCCGTTGTCGAGTTGCCCAATGTGTGAGCTAGTCGTGGTGGTAATCAGCAGTACGAGGATATATTTTGAAAATTCCCCATATCTGGTGGGAATGTACCTTAAACTACCTGAGAGATTATGAAAGAAAGCTGAGAGAACGCTGAAAACGTTTGGACTTAAAATAGTTGTAAACCGAAAAACGAAGATAACTTTACACGATGACCGAGGTGTCTTTGTTAACCGAAGCGACAATCCGACGTTTATGGTGTTCATTAAAAACAACAACAAAACAAAATTGTAACGATAATATTTTTATAAACAAAAAATAATTACAACAAACTACAATACTGGAGTGAATATTACTTAGAAAAAACAGCCGCAGCAGCCGTAGCAGCAACCTGCAAGGTGGATTACATTCTCCAGGAAAAATATTTATTTGTATGTAAGGCAGTTGCTGAATGCAGCTGAATGCAGCTGTTGTAGCAGAATTGCTACAACAAAAAACCACAACAACAACAAAGGCTACTACAATATAATATTTCATCATTAGCACGAGTTAAGACCAAAAAAAATACAATCTCGTTTTAAGCGATGGACTTTTCAAGCCTCCAACTCAACATTTACACCCAAGGGGCAAGGCAGCGGCAGTAGCAGCTATAGACTGTAGAAAAAATATATAATAATTAATTAATCTTAATTAAATCTAAGCTAAACAAAAACAACAATATTATATTTTATTTACGAAATGGAAAAAATTGAAAAAATGCGAAAGCATGTTATTGAAATATTAACGGAAAACAAATTGTATTTGTTATTGTTTATTTTATTTTACTTTTTGTTATAAACAAATAGATTTTTTTAATGTTTTCCTTGGAAATAATAATTTTTGTTTAAATGAATTTAATTCAAAATCGTAATTGTTATGTTAGCTTTTCGTAAGCATTCCCTTTGTTATATTATTGTTTTAAGAAAAAAATATTAAAAAGAAAAAAAACAAATTTATAAATAAAAAAACAACAAAAAACATAAACACAAATTGTCTTATTATTATTTTTTATAAACATTTAGCCGAAGGGGGGATGTCAAATGAAGTATAAAACAAATTAAAATTCCGCTCACACAAAAGGTCATTCAATCGAAATTGTTTTTACAGTCGTCATTGGTTTTAGGGTATTTTGTCGAGTAGCCAGCCCAGCAAGCACATGCTACTTGACAATACAGCGACCTTTAAAACGTAAACATTGAATACTAGCTAGACAGTGATAAATTGTACAAAGGTAGCCAAGAATAATGAGTACTCGAACCTTAATAAGTACTTGCTTTTTATCTAATTGAGGTCTTGAGGAGGGATGGAGATGAGGTTGTTGTTCTTGATGTTGATGTTACAAGAGGTATTAGGCATTACTATTCGATTTGCACTACTAACATATATACAGAAGTGTGTATGTGTATTTATATAGTATATGAATGGGGTCAATAGACTTCAAGTATAGAACAGACACAGGGAAGGCAGACCACTTGTGGATGCCTCATTCGGTGGGGGTAAATTATTACATGAGTCTATTTACATCAAATAGGGTCATTACACCTTATGTACATCAAAGACAAAAACAAGGGCAACAGGTGAATGCCTCCAATTTTGTTTAGTACATGGCTTATTTCTAATAAGAGAATGGCATGGGAATGGCTTATAACCCCCGCCACAGTGTACTACACGGTATTATGTATTTTCGTATTTATTTTTAAGATGAAACTGTATAGACACCTAATTACTTTTGCAGTTATACTTAGAATCACTTTCAGAATTGATCTACGCAAGTCCGTCCGTCCATTACTCCATCTGTCTATCGCTTTTATTATTCAATTGAAATGAAGTTTTATATAATTTATTTGTTCTCAATTTGTCTCAAAGGGAAAAGGCTATTGACATATTCGGTTTAAAAAATTTATTTCAGTTTTTTATTTAATTTTTCGGTTTCAAAAAACTAATTTTAAATCAAACCTACACTAATTTAAGAATATCCCTTAAATTTTCGGTTTCAAAAAATTAATTTCAGTTGAATTGAATTCGAACCTACACTAATTTAAGCATTTTCCTTAAAAAATAAAACAAAAAAATACCTTAGGCGATCCAACATATTTCTGTACAAACTATTCATTATAAACTTCATTTAAAATGCTAAATTGCGTGCCATTCGAACAGACGTATATTCATTCTAGCAACTTTTCATAAAATAGAACTATAACATGTATAGAAGCTATATCTAAACTCACTCCCATCATTTTCAATATGGTCCATCCATAAGCCAAATAAATGAATCGTGCTAAATTTCGTATTCTGTATTTTGTTTTCAAAAAATACACAAACAGGCAAACCATAGGACTCAACATGAAAGTAAAGTTTAACAAGTTCCGCCCGAACTTTTCATATCCTTCTCCATGAGGATGACATTCAAAATATGTAAAATTAATAGGGGGTTCCTAGGAAAAGACTAGTGTGATGATAGGACCTTGAATATACCGAAAAAGACGTGTAAAAAGATGATTACCTAATAGGGGGCTATACCAAAACAGGGATCAATATTGATCGTATTTGGTATTATTTTAGTACAGAGTGGGGCTACCCTTTAAAATTTTGTATTTAAGATCATATAAAGGCACAGAGTTTAGAAATAATAGCAATGTTCATTTTAACCCTCGGTTCGTCTGTCTTTCAGCAAAAACGAAAACATCAATAGTAACGGTACATAGGATAACCGAAAAATCGCAAAGAAAGAGAGTACTTTTAAACGTCGAATATATTCGACAAAAACACTGAAAGGGTTAATAATTTTTGTCACGGAGATGTGCCATGAAATGAGAAAACAAAGTACCAAATTAGAGCCAATTCGATTGAAAAATCAAAATCCCCAAAATGCCGAATATTGTCGGGTACTGTTATATGGGGGCTACCCTGATGTTTAGTATGGAGTTATGCTAAGCAATGAGAACCCAAATTACACCTAATTCTATTGATAAACGTGTCTCAAATCCCCAAAATACTCCGAAACTGGGGATCGATATCAATAATTTTGGGAAAGGAGATGTGTTATGCAATGATAACCCAAAGCACCGAAGTAGTGCCAATTGTCCAAAATCCCCAAAATAACCAATGTTGGGGGAGGGGGTTACCGTTATATAGGGGCTACACCAATACCTGGACCGACATATCCCATTTGCAATACCAAACATATTAGCAATGCCTCTGACAAATATCAGAGCTCTTTCTTAAATATTGCGATATATATCGCGATTTCTACAGACATACAGACACGCATAAATCGACATAGAATTTTATTCTAATCAAGAATTAAGTATATATAGGGTCTCCGGTGAATATTTCGAGTTGTTGAAAATGGAATGACAAATTTAATATATACTCCACCTTATGGTATTTTCCGTATTTTCCAAACTAAGCGTGCTTTTGAGGGAAATTCTATATACATATGTATAAAATTAGACATTTTGGGTTCTAAGGGAGCCTCGGTTTAAAATTTCGGGTGAAAATCTCAACAATTCTTGAAGATATAATAGCCGATTTATTGTGTCAGTATCAACATGTTATTCTCGAAACATTGATTTTACGAATGGCGAACACGATAACTCAAAAACTAATAATCTAATCCGTTCCATATTTTAACACATTATGTTGTACATACATAGCTGTCGTATGAACTAAGGTGTATGTAAACGCTCAAGATCTTCCTTTTATTCTAACTGCAAATTTCATAGGTCCGCCATTATGAAATTTTTGGGCGATGTTAATAATCCCAGTTCAAACCAGAGCTATTAAACAAAGTTTTACAGATATATTTCCATGATTTGACATAAATTAATGAAATTGATTCGGAATTTAAAGCTTCTACCGATAGATTTAATGCCTGAATTTACATTTAAGCTATACAAATGATCCCATATTTATAAATATAACCTAGGAGGTGCAGGGTATCTTATTATCTTGAGGACTTGTTCAATTTCGATCCCTTCATTAATATTTTGCTTATTAAATTTTTATATTACAAAATGTTTTTTATTTACTTTTTCAAATAAAATTTAATACGTAATTATTTTCATTGGCGGTCAAGGTTTAGTTTCTTCTTCGTTTCCCATTCTAGTGGGTGTATTATTAGAATTAGTAAATAGAAGCACAACTGATAAGATAATTAACATTTTTATAACGCAATTTTTGTTTCGCTCTCAATTAATTTCTATTTTCACATACTCAAACATAATGTGCGTTTTACATCAGCATAGTGGCCAACTTTCTCACATTTATTATTAGATAAGTGTGTCGTATACGTATTCGTTTGTGCGGAAAACCCATAAAGAAACATACATAAATTGCAATATGTAAGTATGTGTATTATATTACTAACCGCAACTAGCAGTGAAAATCCCAGTTGTGGTAGGCAAAGATTAAGCATACGAAGTTATTTATTTCAACATGTTGAAAAATTCGAAAAATCACTCATGTAATATGTTAATAATATAGAATTTAATCCCCCGCCCTAGCTGATCGCCAACAATTTTGCAATATGCATTTGTTTACACTTGATTCAAAGTCTAAAACAATTTGACCTCCATTTTCAAAAATATATATACCAAAAACACTTTTTGTGGGGATTTTTTATGAACTTAATAAAAACCCAAGCCATGTTCAATATCGTGGCCAGCATGCAGTGCATTTATGGTTTTCTGTTCACCAAGCAAAATGAAATTTTTAAATTCAAAAATAAGCACTGGCTTAATAGTCAACCGTTCAAGCCTGAGTATTCTTTATGCCGGCTTTTTATTTAACTATTCTATTTGCATGCAAAAAAAAAATATTGACAACAATAAATATTCCGTAATTTACGCTCAGTCTGTTTAAGCATGTCTCGGGGTACTCCCCCAACAGATGACCAATTGTGGCGACAGAACCAACAAAGAATTAATTCTTTTTTGATACAACTGTCGTTAAGTTGTTATATTTTTAAAATGATGAATATTCTTAGGATATTTATTTGCATGATAGGTATCTAATATAAGTAGTTATATTAAGAAGGGATATTCAAACCCTTCGACAGTTTTTAAACATGGTTAAATATAG